GCAGCTGGCAGAAGAAAATCTCTCTGATTTGAGGGTGTTGGAGGGTGGATGGATCAACAAAAATTCAGAAGGAAACAATTTCAGAGTTACTGTTAAATTATGCTGCTCGGGAAGGGGATGTTCTCTGGGCACTATGGCCACACTGATCAATTCTCACTCCTCAGAGTGGCAGGCAGCCTTCACAGCCAGCCTTGAACAGCTGGCTCAGCCCCCTGGGACCAACCTCCCAGTGAAACCAGCCTGGCAGAAGAGCCCTGCCCAGTTCCCCTCAGATAGGTACAGCTATTCCAGGCTGATGGACAGACAGACACTCCTGTTTCACCAGCTGGTTTACAAATACTCAGAGGACGCAACAGGAATAATGTTGATTTCAATACTCCAGTAGCTGAAACAGATTTAAAGATAAAGCAAGGGAATAAACATAGAGGAAAAGCAAGCTTGAACACACAGATTTTGTTGCATTGCACAGATGTTTGATGTGTAGACATCTTGGGGTAAATATTTTATTTTCTGAAAACCAGACAATTTAATTATCCCACATAAAGCTTCACAACTGCTTTTTTTTGTTTGGTTGGTTTTTTTTTTTTTTTGGTTTCTTTTGGTTTTGGAGTTTTATGGGTTTTGGGTTGTATTTTTTTGCTTAAGCAAGTAAAAAAACTAGTTACCCATAAAAACTGAAGAAAGAAGGGACTATGTTTACTGGGAGATTTGCCAAGGCACAGAAGATTTAGGTTTAAGTCTCTCCTCTTCCTCAAGGATTTCAAATCCCCATGTGGGACACACCCTTATCTTTCCTATAGAGGAAAACCACCCTGAGATGTTTTGTTCTCAAAAAGTTCCTGGAGGTGTTTTACCTTGCATGGAATATCAGCCAAAGTTCTAATCCTTGTACAAATAAATCTTCTGTACTTGTATATATCACAATAACAAAGGGACGATGTCTGTCAGTCCCACATAACCATACTCAGGTAATTTTTTGGCTATGACATTATCACAGTCTGTGGGAGAAGGATCTAATACCTGGATAGAAGATTTTTTTTTTTTTGAGATGCTATTATGCAAGAAAACAAATAAATAAAAATCTCACAGCACCAGGGTATAAAGTGAAACACTTCAACCTCACCTCACACACCACATTTCTTGGTACAAGGAAACACAGACGTGCTTTGCTGGTCAGAACCAGAAGTATGAGTGCAATATTTTCTCAGCAACTCTCCACCAGAATAATTGTAGAGACGTTCACCTTCTCCCCAGATATTCCTAGGAAAACATCATTCTCCTGATTTTTCAGAGCCAGTATATTTGATAAACTAGTGTTAACACAATGGCCATCTTCACAGTGAAATTCAAAAACCACAGATGGGGCATATCAGAGATGACACTGTACCAAGGCTCTCCCAGCCTATGTCTCTTCTTTCATCAGCCAGTTGTACAGTTAACATCCCTTTGGATTCTTTCAGAATTATCTAATTCACTCAATCATGTGCCTGCTTCTTTTTATTAACATCAAAAGGCTTTGGATCCGGCCCTACTAAAAAAAAAAAAAGAGTAGTTTTTCTACAAGGCTATTGTGCATTTTATATCAGGTCCACAATAGCTCCTCTGTGACTCCTCTCCCTGCCTCACCTCTCATCACAAGCACGTTAGCAGATAACATGACATTAAAGAGCCATCAGTGTCCTCCAGGAAAGCTGCAGGAAGGTTTCCTGGCCTGCCAAGCAGCAGTTCTGATAAGGGATCACCTGCACAAGCAGCACATTCCTACCACACTACCAACATTCTCTCCAAGTACAGATGTCTTGCCACAAATTACTGTGACTGAAAGGGTTTGGGCTGCAGCAGAAGAGATGGGAAGAGGGAAAAAGGAGCTCTTATTTTAAAACCATTTCTGCCTGATTCTGCAACTGAAAATTTCTTATGCCTGGAGGTTAGAGAGTGGCTGTTCCTATGCATCTTTTTCCTAGCTTAATCTCCACCCCTGCCACCCAAAATCCCCTGTTTCTGGGCTTCACTGCAGTTATCATCAATCAGTAATTTACAGCTTCAAAATACACATTCTCAAATGACACAGCTCTGGTCTTCATAATAAATCAAGGCCCTACCTGTGGGCAAAAACTTCCCTGACAACCAAATAAAAAGGCATTCAGTGGGATACCAGACAATTATAATGGCCCCAGTAGAAAAAGTAAATCATAATAAGAATTGAACACAGAGCTCTTTTAACATCACCTCCAAAACCACTGCTCAATTGAAAGTGTTTTAACTTCAGTGAATGGTGTAAAACTTAAAATTAGTAAATTAATACAATTAAATTAATTAACTGCAAATTAGACTAAGTTTCAGAGGAAATGAAGTAATGGCACGTTTTACATTTCAGACCTTGCACAGCTGAAGTTGTGTCCTTGAAGAGCTACAGATATTTCCTTGGCCTTACACTGTTGAAATCCCTGATATTTTCAATACTAAGTACAGAAAAGTACTCAAAATTCTACAAAACTGTTTTTCAAAGCATGACTAATAAAAGTAAACCCGAAAGTTTATAGAGTAAGCAATTTTGAAGATGCTGAAAATTACTTATAAAAGGTGTTCTTATCAAAAGACACACCCTTTAATACACCTGAAAAATATCAGAGAGTGGAAAATCACCTGAGTGAATAATCATAAATTTCAACTGAAAAATTGAGTGAGGGAAGGATGATTCAGAGTTTGTGTTCACTGCTCAATCTTAAGTAATGTTCTAAGTACTAACAAACAGGAAACATCTTTGCTAAGGTGCTGAATGTTTTTTCTTTCCTCTTGAAGCATATAAAGGTTGAAGATGTTCAGCACATGATGTAACCGGGTACTCTAAAACTGGACCCTGTATAATCAGCCATCCACTAGAAAAGTACAGGAGTTGCATTGATTCCTGGTTTACACTTTTAATTGCAAAAAAGAAACCAAATCTTTCTTTAGACAATACTGACATTCACAGGACATAACAGCATGTGTTAACTGGTAATGTCACTGCTTTTAGAAAACAATCCATATAGCACATATAATTGGGAGAGTGATTTTAAATCTGTGAGTGCTTGATCCTTATCAGTTCACAAAATCCAGACTCCTTTTCCCAACTCCACTCTCCTTCTCAGGAAAGAAAAAAAAAACAACAACCCAGAGGTTGCACTAAACTAGGCTCAAAGCTGGTTAGATAGAAATCACAGTCTGAGAACGACTGTAAAGGGGTTTAAATTTTCTGTCTGAGAGCATGAGCTCTGGCTCCTAAGCCTTACTGTGGGGCTAGGGAGCCACCCTTTGGTCACTGCTCTAAGTGCAAAATCAATATATCCGCACACTCCGACAGCTTCTGCCCTCTGAGGAGGGCTCTTGATGAACACCTATAAATTTGCTGGTCTTGCCAACAGCTGTTCCAAGGATGTTTCTGGTTTAACACCATTTACAGAGTGTATCTTATCTCACAGGGATGGCAGGGAGGAGTAACTTCTGCACGTGGGGGGCTTTGAGCATGTTATGTGTTAAATAAACAAAAAATGTTGTTACACTCTGTGCCCTCCATTCTCCATCCTGTCACAGACACAGACCAATTCCCACAAACTGAGCGCCTGCAGCATCACTTCTCACTGAAATGAGGATAAAAGGAAACTGAACATTTGTAGCTTTGTAGGTTTCTCTTCCCAGAGCCCAAAATTGACTAAATGAAAAGGTTACACCTGAATTACAAACTACTTTGTGACAGACAGACATAGATGAGTGTGAAAAGGAGAGCAACACACAGAAAAAAACAACAAACTGCTGGCTTATGATTTCAGAAAAATGGGCTGGACACTGATGTAGAAAGGAAAAAAAAATCCTCAAAGAATGCAAAACACAGATATTAAGCTCAAGAGAGGTCAGCCGACAGGGCAGAAAGGGAAACCCATGGAAAGCAGCCAGAGAGATTAAACTTAAGCCCCACACAACTCTTATTTCACATTGAAAACCACAAACCATTCCCAGAAAGGAAGAAACTTTTATGCTCCCTCTTAGCCTTGATGTGAGCAACCTTCTCAAATGCTTCTGCATTTTACGAGGAGGGACTGAGTTCCCAGAGTTTTCCATTTACTCCTCCCTCAGGACTTTGGGGGCTGTTGTTCTTTCTTTCAACTCAGGATCATCCTCTGCCATAGTCAGCTTTTGCTGGTCAGTGTCACAGGGAACCAGTCCATGAGGCAGAGAAGATAAATAGTGGAGATATAAAGCACTGGATAACCCAGCCACAGCAGGAAAGCAGCGGTCTGGAGTTTGGATACAGACTTGGGAACACCAAGACAAGGAAACAGATGAACTACAGACTGTTGGGTGACCAAATAGAAAAAAAAAAAAAAAAAAAAAAAAAAAAAAAAAAAAAAAAAAAAAAAAAAAAGAAGGAAGAAAAAAACCAAAACAGGCTGGAAATAGCCATTAGTTCAAATTACAGGTAATTAGCAGAGGTTGAAGTAATTAGCATTTGCTGGGGTAATTAGCACTTGCTGGAGCAGTCATAGTGAAGGAAGCAGTGACAGCACTGAGGACAAACGTACTTCACATGCTCAGGAGCTCTTTCAAACACTACACACCAGATGACCCTTGTGTTCCCACAAGATGAACATTCCTACTCACCTGTCACTTTTGGAGATGCAGATGCCAGGAGCTGGAAGGATCTCTCCAAGCCCACATGATAAGTTTGGAGCAACATGAGAACAACAGAGGAATTTCCAGTTGATCAAACTGCAAGGAGACTTTGGCTACTTTTAAAATCAAGGGCCTTTTCCTCCCACCACCAGAGAAAGGAGAGCACACTGGATCACTGAACACTTCCATTGGCTAAAAAGTAGTGTTTAATTATTCTGTTAGTGGCTCTCAGACACTTTTCCTTGTCCCAAAATGTAAAAAGTGAATATGAAGTATAAAACTGATAGAAAGAAAATAAATAGGGCACGAGACAGCCATTACAGTGTTTGGTTTCTTTCCTGAGGTATGGGGCCACACACACTGCATACTTTTCTGTAAAGGATTTTGTTGAAAAAAAAGCATTTATTTTTATTTCAGCCTGTAGTAATGCAGTACATTTAGATTCTTACACTAATTAATGCTACCAGTAAATTAAACACCAGTTTTGATTTGTGACTGCAGTACTGTTAGACGTCAGTGTAGAAAGCATTTGCACCATGGACTGACAAAAGGGTCTGACTGTAAATACAGTCAGACACATCTTTGTCTTCTGCATTTGAGCAGGTTTTCAAGGTGGTCACTTGATTGCTGGAAGTTGAAACCAAGATAAACCCAGTGTGAAAGGCCTCTTCTGAAAAAGAGTAATCACATGAAGAAGATGATGTCATAGTTTTTGGAATTATGACTGCACTAATAAATGAATGGGTTTGAAAGGACTTGTTTTGATACACCACACTGCAAACCCAGGAGTGGCAGGGTTTCTTGGTTAATTTGCTAGGAAAGAGAATTTGGATGTGACTTGAATGTGGTTCCCTCCACCAATATTGGTCACAGTTGGCTGTAGAGTACTGAATCTGGAACTGAACAGAAATTTAGGAAAGCAATAGCATAATGTGACTGAGATAATTTATCACCAGGTAATGGCACCCTGCTGATATTTATTCTAAAACACTTCTGGAAGAAGCATCTTATAAAAGTTACCTAATTGCTTCATTGCAGAAGAGCAATTGTGTGGTGATACTGCTGTCAAAACACAGCAGTTGCACAACGTCTTCAAAGGAAATAAAAACAAATCAACATGGACTTAGCTAATTGAAGTCAGACAGAGCTGAGTGGCAGGCACCAGTTTGGGCTGAGGCACGACATTCTCCACCAGGCTGCAAAAGTTCCACCCAAACAGGTAAATCTCAGACATCCAAAATACCTTGTGTCGTGCTTGCTTTCATCCTGAAAGTGTTCAAACACAAATACCCTCATTCTGGATAAGTTTCCTGGGATTTTCTGTTTTGGGTTGCTACAGGTGATTGGAAGCACCAAGATTAATGTGTGAACAGTGACTGGCAAGGCACTTTAGCAAGAACAGATTTCATTCAAAACTGTGGAAAAGCAGGGACTTACAAGGACCCTGAGGGAACCATTGCTGCCTCATCCTCTGTACAGCAGACCCCTGTCTTCAAAAGAAGATTCAGATTCGTGAAATTTAATGAAGAAACAAAAAAGACATCTCCACACATTAGGAATGTGTTCAGGTGCTTTAAACCTCATCTTATGAAGGTGAACAGATGGTGCAGAACCAGCATCCCTGCAATGTGTTTAGCACATGGCTCTTCTCATGGTGACCCAGAGCTTTTCCTCTCCTTGTTGTGAGGACACACTCTCCAGAGCTGGGCAGGCATCTCAAGAAGATCTTTTGCACTCATGAACTACAAGGAGAAAAGGGGCCAACGTGGCTGCAGTTCTGCCAGGCAAGAGGCAGGAACTGGGAGAAGCTCCCGCAGTATCCACTGCAGATCCTCAAAAAGGAGTGTTCACAGTGACCACCTTACAGTGCCCTTTATGAAAGTACAACATTGGGTGGCAAACCTGAGGCAACCTTCCCTGGTGACACAAGAAAGAACCAACACTCACATGTCCCCATGCTGGGGGACGTGTTCAGGGAATCATTTATGAGAGCCAAGCCTTCCATGTGTGTCCCACAGGAGTGTTAAAATCAGGATGTGCCTGGAGCAGGATCACCTCTGCACGTCCTCAGGGACATCTTCACAACACACAGCTTGCTGCCAACAGCAGTTTGATCTTTAAAACTCAGTTTTAAGCACCACAGAACACAACAAGGTGACCAAGACTCAAACCTTTATGACAATTAGGAAACTCCAGCCTTTGAATAAAGAGCCTTTTTACCTCTATCTTAATAGTAGCAAGAAATGCTGCCAACTTCCATTAAAGGAGCATCTACTTTCCAATTAGCAATTGCAGCCTCTAGGTAATTCCTACCAGTCCCTGGCAAAACATTGCACTACAAATAATTCAGAGAAAGTTCTTGATGGGACCCCAGTTGCTAGCATCTTTGAGAATCTCACTTGCTGCCATGGAAGAGATAAAAAATGGAATAGTATAAACAACTTGAAACAGTGTGCATTTGACAAAACATTGCTTGAGTAAAAACTGTATTTTGAAAGAAATAAATCCTGTTGTGATTTTGATTATACTAATTATTTACTTTATTGAATTGTTTCCACTTTTAAAATGTATATGTTTTGTTCTACACTGTCTACTAAGACGAAGAATAAAACCAGACTGATCAGTTTTGCCTTTGGAACTCCCGTATCGGTTGCCAACACAATAATTTTATATTTAAGCTGCAAACAATACCTGGTGAAATTTTAATCCAAACTAGTAAAATTTTCAAATCCACATCTTAAAACTGTTTCTGGAAGCATTTCTCTTCATACTGAATTTGAAACCTTTTTAGAGAAAAGAATCAGTATTTTATGCCTGCATTATGCAACCACATGACATTCTGAAAATGGAATTATTCAGAGGGAGCAATATTTCATCAAAGAACCATTAATGAACTGAAAAGAAAACCCTGGTGCTGTTACACTTCCCGCCCATCAGGCAAATACATAGAACAGATCAGAATGTTTTGTCCAAAGGCTGGGAAGCGCCCCAGGGTCTCCCAAGTGTCCGTGAAGATGTTGTACTTCAGGAAGAGACGCTGCTCCAAGCTGGAAGACAGAGTAATATTCCTACTCAAGATATAGACTCCATCGTTGTGGAGAGTGCAAGTCAAGTTAAGGCCGGATTTGGATGAGTTCTCGTTGAGGTAGAGCCACTCCTTGGTGGCAATGTTGTAGGACTGCACTGTCAGCACGTCCTCACTGGGGCTGGATCTCTGGCTTGGTCCGGGCTCCAGGATGCAGCCCCCCACCAGGTAGATGGTCTCCTCCACAGACAGCATCTGCTGCTTGCGGACGTGCACGTCGCACAGCTCCAAGTTGGTCCAGGAATCAGAAGTGGGACAGTACTGCAGGATGCTCATGTTCCTGCCTGAAACAGAGAGGAGGCATTTGCAAATCAGTAGTTCTGTCACAAGGCACTGGTGGGGGAGTGTTTTTCTTCCCTACAAAGTGTCCCAGCCTTTCCTGCAGATTGCTCACACCCTTGCAGGGCAAGCCAGAGGAGAAATGGTGATCACTGACAACTGCAGCTCTTTGCCCTGGACACGAAACTTTGAACGTTCTGTTCCTTGGCACAGGGGAAATAAATGATGCTACTTCTGGCACATTACATGATGTAAATTGTCTGGGCCCGCAGATTTTAGCAGAATCCAATCCCTACCTTTCAGTTTATGCTTTTAATTTTGTCTCTGATTGATACATAAGTATTTTTTTACAAAGAGGGAAAATGGAGCAATATTCTCATCTCCAGAAGTGGTCACAGATGAATCAAACTATCATGAAGAGAGTACACTTCATTAATGGCTGCCAAGTGATGATTTATCATCCAAGCTTAACTCTGATATTTCGCATTTTAGTCCACAAATCAAAGTTTTATGGAATAAAATTTGTAAAGCTGGTTACATTTCAGCAAGTGGTCTGGATGACCCAAGGGCACCTTATAAAGGGAGAAACACACATTGTCAAAATCATCTAAGAACCAGGAAATCTGTGCTCTGCCATGAGGCAGAGGCTCAGAAAGAAGCTGAAATCATCTCCATAATTCACAATTCAGTGTGTGCATATGTTTGCAATAGTGTTATTCCACAAAACTGTTACAATGCCAACCTGATTTATGGTGAGAGAAGAACCTGGCTGTGCCCAAGGCTTCACTAAATTATCACAGAATCCACACGACTCAATAAATTCAGTTCCAGTCTCTAGAGACCTGAGCTCAAATCCAACCTCAAGTGACAAGCAGGAACAGGTTTGCAGACTCCAGACAGGTCTTTTATTAAATCTCCTCCACAGTACCAGTCTGTCCTGCATGATGACTTCCAGATGAGCTCCCAGGGGAAAGAGCAGACAGGGACATACTGACAAGTTCTGTGAGGGCACAGGTATAAATAGCCAGAAATATAACTGGATTGTGAATGAAGAGCATCAGTGGCATGATCAGGGAGGTGCTGCTCCATCCAGCATTTGCACCCCGAGTATTTTCATGGCAGTGCTCTGTGAAACTACAGCTCTACATATAGATGACCTTTGTCTACAAACAACCTATCATTCTCTGACTCATTAAGGGGAGGAGAAGTCCCAATTAAGTTTCTATGACTATCTATAGCAGTTAAAGTCCCCTGGAAAATGTGCTATTTAAGAGGAGGTGTATGAAATAGAAGTCCATTGCAACATGGCACTCACATGCTCAGTCCTCAGCCTGAGTCTTTTATATCCACTGAAACAACAAAAAAATCACAAAACAAAACCCACAGTACAAAATGTGAACACTACACTGTGTGACATGGAATTTCTATTAGGATCTAGGTTCAGAAGTGAGAGCTGCAAATTCAAGAGAGGGATTTTATTCATTATAATTTACAGTGGGAAATTCCACATTCTCCCATTCAGGAGAAAGCTCTACACAAATTTAAAAAAACAGCCCACAAAATCTACGAAAACTGAGGTATATACAGAAACACCAAAAATTACTAAAAATAACATAAATAACATAAATATAACATAATAAATAACATAAAAAGAACATTAACTGCTGCATGTGTTTTATGTAGTAAAGGCAGCAAACCAGCATATAAACCTTACTTAGTGTTTCTCGTATCTTTAGGTCTTAACACTTTCTGACATTCATTAACTGCTGCATGTGTTTTATGTAGTAAAGGCAGCAAACCAGCATATAAACCTTAGTGTTTCTCATATCTTTAGGTCTTAACACTTTCTGACATCGGCATACTTGAGAAGGAAAATCACCAGTGTAACTGTGGCAATTCTGGTGTCAAAGTCTCCTACCAAGATGTCACAGAAAAACTCACTCTAGACCCTTGTTCAGGAAATTATTTATAGCAAGCATAGGTGTTTGTTGTCCTGAGTGATCCTGGATTTATACAGAAGCCTAAATGTGCTAGTTATCCACTGCTCAAAACTTCCTATTGTTTTACTGCTCGATTTCCATTGAAAAAGGCTTTTAGGAAAAGACCTGGGAAAGGACAGAAGTTTGGAGGGCAGCAGCAATCTCCTGCAGTGTGGAAGAAGCCAGAGTTAACTCACAATTCTCCTTCAGCTGAACCTACAGACAGCAAGTACTGAGTCAGTAGCTGACACAGGGTAGTAATCCTGACTGCACATGCCTTGTTCAGGAGTTTTAAAGGAATGGGATCTGCATCAGCAACGTGCTGACCTTCCTCTTCATGACACCAGAACCAGGCAGCCTGATGGAAGCACAGCACAAGTATCAGAAAAGGAACTTGCAGAGTGCAGAGGGTGTAGGAGAATAGCTGGTCCTTCCATAATTGTCTAGCACTCTTAACCAAATCAGAGGTTTTTCAGTTTTTCACCTGACCTCTTCTTTCTCTCTCTCTAGATAAAAATGCCAAACCCTTAACCCTGGTCTCTAGAGACAAGACTTCCCATTAACCCCTTCAACCCCTTCTCCTTGTTCTCTTGTCTCACAGGATGTTTCCCTTTGGATCTGACTTCTCAGCACAAGCATTTCATGCCAGACATCTCAGATTCCCAGTGCTGGACATGAGGGAGCACAGTGGCCCCAGCAGACCCTGTAGTGGGGGTGACCAGAGGACTGGGACTGCAGCACACACAGCACAGCACAGCTCTCCATATAGACACAGGCACATCTTCCTCACAGACGCCACCAGGCTCTGGGTCAGAACAGTCTGGACATGATGTGTTTGAGGGTTTTCATTACCAGATGGACCTTAAGGGGTGGCAGTGTGTCTTTTATGAACTTTAAAATGATTCAGAGCTCAAATCTGCTCAAACACTAAAAGCTTGTTCTAACATCAGTTTAGTTTTGCTTGCGGTACTGTCTGTAAAAGCTCATCTGTCTTCTAATTTCATTCTCTGCTTGGAAAGAAAGCCTTAAAACTGCTGTGGTCAACTGAAGTGGGCAAAGGCCAAATTCAAACTTACGAAATCCTGGTAAATACTGAACATTTGACATGTTTAAAAAAATGACTTCCAAAGCTCTGAGAAAATGTCTTCCTTCCAAAAAATGGCACTATGTACTTAAGGAATAAACAAATGGGAGGTTTTTTTTTAACTGGACTTGTTTGCCCACTGGATAAAAGAAAAGTAATTGTCAGAAGAGAATGAGACTTCAAATCCTCCCCTCTGTACAGTGTCTGCAGAAAATTTGGTGTAGAAATTAAATAACCTTAAAGTGTTGGTTCTTGCTTCAGCTTTTGATTGTTCTATTCCATTATTAAAGTATAACTCAAATTTGCCTGTGAAACACTGAAATACTGTAGTGAAAAGACCATGACGTCTGTTAATACATGAGAAACACTAAGGCAGGCAGATATTTTCTATGAATTTTTCCTTCTGACAGTCTAAACCATGTATTTAAAAAACAAATAAAGTATATCTGTTGAGACCTCTCTCTACTGCTTGATCAAAATCTAAGAAAAGGAGTAGTGGCTAAGCTGGGTGCTAAAGTACCCATTAGCTTGTTCTCTGTAAGTACCAGAGCCCCAGGTCCACACAGGCTCTGAAAAAAACCCAACAAACTGATTATTTTCTGATAGAGCTATTGTTTTGTTTTGTTTATTTAATCAATAATTTTCTACCAGCAATTTATTTCTTTGTGTTTTAATCAGCATTACGCAGCCTTCTACAGGAGTTCAAAAGCTTTCCTGAAGAACAGGAGAAAATTATCTGGGCCTTGTGAACAACCAGGTAAAAAGCAACAAGAAGAGCAAACTTGTTACCTCGTGCAGTGTATCCTCCAATAACGTAGATCTTGCCCTTGCATTCACAAGCTGAGAATTCTGCAAGAGGGTTTGGCATGGATGCCACAAAATTCCACCAGTCATTCTCTGGGTTGTAGCACTCCACGTTGGAAAGGGACTGGCCACCGATGGCATAGAGCTTTCCACTGACAGCCAGGAGCTTGAAGTTGGACCTGAAAGAACAGATTGCAGCACTGAAATGAGGTGCATCCACGTGCAGAAATACAGCCAGGCTCTGACACACTCATCACCACTCACAGCTTGCACCACAGCCTGAGGTATCTGCAGCATCTGAACTCTTCTGTGCCAGGCCAAAACGCTGTAACTACACTGCAATTACTCAGGACAGGAACCACTGAGAGTCTGAATGGAATTGATGATGATGCTGAGACTGAGGAATATTTTATTTTGTATTTCAGTCTGTGCCAGTTCAGCTCTAGATGTTCAGTCAACCAATGTGCTCAGTAGACAGGTCATTTTTATCTGGTTTTTAACAATGTGCCATTGGTAGAGAAAAGTGCATTACATGGACACAGAGAGAAAGATATAATTTCAGTTAAAGTTGCAGAAATTTCAAGGCTTGATGGATGCCTATAAATGAATACTTGTTTTAGGCTGTAGTATGGAATCTCTTTAATAACCCTAATAAAAAAGCAATTTAAAGTGGAACACATTGAATCCTGTTCAACAAAAGAAAGAAGAGAGAATCCTCTGTAGCCTATTCAGCATTAAACTATTAAATACATCCTCTGAAGCAAGATGCATCAGTAAATTATGTTCTACCAATAGCTGAACAAAAATGACATTGCACCCCATGAGCAATGCCCTCCAAATGGGTCATTTATTTCTTAGTGTGTTCCACTATGCTCTCAAAATTCACACACGGCAAAGGGCAACTTCCTAATTCTGAAGCACGAGAAGTCTCCTATCTCACAGCCTGAAGGTAACACAGACAGAAACAAATGGTCCATGGGTATCAGAGGTGCAGATCTGGAGGAAGAGCCTGGAGGATGTGAAGACAGAACTCTTGTATGCTGTTCTTCTTTCCAGCTAGGGAAGCTGGTCTAAAAAAGGATGAGCTTTTCCTCTCTCCAGGAACAGTCTCATTGCCTAGAAAAGTTGTTCCTTCTCTTCTGGTGAGCCAAGTGAGATTTTACCATTACTATCCCAATTAACTGGATGTGTGGCAGTCCCTGGATTGCACCAGCTCAGCACAAAGCCAAACAGGGAACTGTGTTATGTCTGTAAAACTGAAATGATGTTTCAGACCTGCACTGGCCTGCTGGGCAGCAAAGGAAGTACCACCCTGCAGGAATCCAGCATTCAAAACTTACTGCTAAGTACTTTTGCAGGGTTTTGAATGGACGAAATAAACCCTGCCTAGCTGCAGACTGCCTTGCAACTTCTTTTATTAAATCTATTTGGAAAAAAGATTTGTTTCCAGATGGAATCACTTTGTTCTTGTCAGCCTGATACAGCTTATGAAACTAAAATGTTCCTTTGAAGGAATTAATTACTTTTTATTCTTTTTTTTTCCCCCTGACATCTATGATCAGGTCAGTCTCTTCATATTCCCTCAATAGCAATTATCCTTTCCATTTCAGAGAATCCAGAATAACATGGTTATCAGAAGCAGGTATGAAATGAGGATAATTACTTGCAAAACATTATGATTTTGAAAGCAATATGCCTGTTGCAAAAGTTAGGGCAGAGAAAAAATTTCTACAAATTAACAAAGGGGAAAAACCACTGGGAAAACTATCTATTGAAACACAAACAGCACAACTTTTGGTTTTAATTATTCTAAAAGGAGGCCACAAACCTCTGTGTCAGTCATTTAACCACTTTGAAACATTCGTTAAAATGGACGACATTCAGTGGAGGTATCTCAGATTTATGGAATTCATTAACAATAAGGTTCATTTTACTCAAAAGTAGCTGCAAGTATCCATCAGCACACTTCATATGAAAGTTTGGACAATGGCTCAATATGCTATGAAAAACTTCTACCATTCACCTTTCCATGCCAGTAACACCAGGTGTCTTTATGGAGAGTGCACATTAGGAAATATTCAGTGCATTTTTAGTCTCTTTTAATGTGTTGGAGCAGCTGGAAACAGGGAAAGCAAACACTGAGCAGGCAGCCAGCTCTCCACAACCAACAACTGTTCCATGGACTACAGCCTGGAAACAGCGGGGCCACATCAGTCACATTCCAGCACGACGGAGCTCCACTCGCACCTGCCACTTGTCTAAACCTGAGGGATCAAGAGGTGCTTTCCAAAAACCAGGCCTAGAGGGTCCCTTCTTGCTGGGACAAGCTGAGGTATGAGCTGTTGTCTGCTGCCCCCACTGACTCTGAAGAGGAGTCCAGGAACAGCAGTGAGTGAGAGCTGAGGGCTTTTACCATCGCTTAAAATTTGTTCTTTACTCAACAAAGTGCAAAGCGCTGTGTGCACAAAGGAAGGAAAATATAACACACCAATGCAAAGGAGCTGGAGCAGAGAGGCTTCTGCATGCAAAACAACATTCCACAGCTTCCCAAAACCCCCATGGCTCCACATTGTGCTAGGAAACAACATTCCACAGCTTCCCAAAACCCCCTGTGGGTCCTCATTGTGCTAGCTGTATCTGCAGCAGCCCGTGGTGGCAGTGGCTATGAAGGACACACACGGTTTTTGTTCACTGACAATCTCACTTAGTGCACACCAAAAAGAGTTAGCCCAAATACTGGGGAGGACTTTGATCAGAGGGGTGGCTAAACGTGGGCACAAGAGACCTGGGAGGAAGATTCCAGTGTAGGCTGGAATCTACACTGCTTGAGGATTTCAAGAACAAGTTAAATATATATTTATTTGCAAGGCAGCCTAGGTCCTGCTGCAGAACACGAGCCTTGGAGTAACCAGCATTGTTTCTTCCTGCCAAATGATGAATTTAACCTTAAAATGTCTCAAAAATCAGATGACCTCTTTATTCTAGAGTTAAAGCACAACAGAGACAAGGAATCATGAAAGCACAGTCATGGAGCAATTCCAAAGTGTTTTACGTATTTTCAATGAATTCCTTTTTTTCCTTTTTGTATATTTCTCATGCGAATTTGCAGATTACACTGCATCAGACATTTAGCTTCAGTAGTGTGTGATACATTTGTGGTAATTAAGGTATAGATGGTTCTAATTTAAAAATTTTTGAAGTCTATTTTCCTTCCAGCACAGAAGAATTTTGAGTAATTAAAAAAAAAACCAGTAAAAAATGAGGAAGGAGAAAGTCTCCTGAACAAGCAGCATTCCCCAGAAGCATCATCTCCTACATTCCTGTAAGTCCTCAGATTGGCAGTGGTTCAGGTACAGACTGCTCACAAAAATCATGTTCGATGTGCATAATTTCAGCCTGGGCTTACATAGGTCTTCCAGGCCTGGAAGATTTACCTGCCATGAGTAGGAAGGTTCTGAAGGAAATCAGAAGTGGAATATACAGCTATAACTGGCACATGCAGTAGAAATCTTATGAGTATATTATTTTTAAATAGAAAATTTCACCAGATAGTGTTCACTAAAAAAAAAAAAAAAAGAAAATGTTTGGAAACATTACTGCAACAGTCCCCTTTTCACTTTGTTACCTTCATGACTCCAAAGACCATGAGGGATCTTACAACATGGAGCTGCTTCTATTAAAAAGTTCAGGCCATTCTCTCTCTTGAGAATTCCAAGTACAGAAACACGTCTAGAATGAAAAGGTCTAGAAAACCTGATCTGTTGTGGACTATTTGTGATCAGCACTGGATTTAGCCCTCAGATGATTAAAAGTTCCATGCTCAGCCAGCCACAGGCTTCCTTGGTGAGCCTGAGCACATTATTTTAGCTCCCTTGGGTATGCATAAATTGGGAATAACACTCTCTGAAGCTCCTGGGGGACATCACAAGAACATTATACAGGACTTGCCTATTGTGAAAAAGTTTGAAAATAAAGCTATAAAACCTGTACACCTAAAAAGAAAGCCAACAGTGAAGACCCAAACCAGAATGGCTGCTAAACATTCAGGTGGCTTTCATCTTCTACTTAGGAGAGCTTCATCTAAGCATGAGATTACAACAATGGAAATAATTCATGATAAAAATACCATAGAACTTGAAAAGTTTGTTTAGGGCAGAAAGCTCTTATATGAAGAGCAGAACAGCAAAATTATGTCCATAACTCCTCAGCCTTCCTTTGAAGCCAACACGTGCAGTCACTCATGGAGGACAAATCCATATCCTCTGCTGTCTGAAGTCAAACCAACTTCAATGGAAACTAGAGCCCTCCCTGAAGGTATGTCAAATTTCATCCATGGGATGTAATTGTATCAGCTGACATAAATTCATTTGCCAGACAGTCACATGGCTGTAATTCCTAAGCAGAAGGCTGGGCAACCACCCTGCTTATTTTACTACAGCATAACAAACTAAAAATACAATGCCAAGCAAACTGCAGCTCTAATTGCAGCACAGATGCGTGGCAGACAGGCATCAGCACTGGGCATGCAGCATGCAAACCCCACATGTTAAAAATGGTGCTGCTCCTGGCTCCGAGGGCACAGGCCATTCCTCCCTGCCACAAAGCACCCAGATGGCCATCAGGGAGCTGACATGTTATGTCACACAGAAAAAGTAATAATGAACTGCAGAGCTGAGACTCCGCGAAGCTGGTAAAATCAGAAATGTGTTTTGTGAAGGGGTCAGCTGAGTTCCCATGAAAAAAAGTTCCCCCACTTACTCAGGGGACAACATCCTCACTGCTACTTTGCAGGTGTAATTCTGGGTACTTTTTGGCCTGCAGTAACTACATGGAATTTAAGACTAATTATTCCAAAAATATCCATTTGCCCGCTGTCTTTCTGCAGTAAATGGCCAATGTGAAATTCTAGTCTAAGGAACACCTTGCTGTCACCTGTGATGGGTTTGAAGATTAAGTTGATGTGGCAATGCCATTGAAAACAGTAATAGGCAAAAATATCCATGTGTTTATTTCAAGTATAATGATTATACATCCTAGCAAAAACAAAAAAAAGAGAAAGTGTGGAGGAAAAAACGATGATCTAGAGTTTGAATACACAAACTGTAAGGTGGAAAAAGGGCCTTGGAAAGGTATTTTTTAAAGACCCATGTTGCAGAGTCAACATACATAGTAAGAGCTGTCTTGCTATAGTCACCACAGAAACAGAACTTTGTGATTTGACCAAGGTGGCACTTCTGTGATGAATTTCCATAGGAGACACTGTGTGGGCTGACCCCACCCTGCTTTTCTAGCGAGGCCAAGTGCTCCCAGCCCCATTCGCAGAGGTCCTGCTGTCAAATGAAGCCAGCTAAAACATCTCTGTTCCCTAGGCACCTCAGGGAACTCCGCTACAGGCTCAGCCTCGAATAAAGGTCTGTATGAAAAGGTGCTTGTAGTGCTTAAAAGCCAAACATTCATTTTACACATGAAACTTTTCTCAGCGCGGTTCCAAGCAGTCAGAAACACTGAGAAAAATGGTTTCCGATCAGTTGTGATGACTGATTAGGGAGGTGATTATTTTAGCAAAATTCTCACAATACAAGAAGTGGAGGGGGAGAAAAAGTGAAATGGCAAAGACTTAATTTTAGGTCTAATCCCTGTTTTGAGGGGGTTTAGGTGGCAAATGCTAAATAGAGCCAGGAATAGAGACTGCAGTTTAACTATCCAGATACAAAGCGTTTATTCCAGTGGCTTGGGTTTCTGTGCATGCTCTTTCAATCCACAGGATAGAGAAGAGGATTTCCATTCTACAGTGAATTTTGGCCTCCTTACTTTTTCTTTTTCAGAGAGAAAAGATAAAATTTAAAATACTTTTACTAAAATGGAAACAAAGAGGAAGTTCATGTTGGAAACAAAGCCAGTTTGTTTCAGTGAAATTAAAGCCTTTGTTTTTATAACTCCAACATGTGGTTAAGGTAGAGAAGCCACAACCTTGGCCGGGGAGAAGGCCTCTCTTCTTGGGCCCTCCTCAAGGCTAGGTCTCTAGTTACTCTTTATTATACAAGTATTTCTGAATGCAAACTAGAATATCGATATGTAATAAATGGTTCAAAATTATAAAGGTAAAAAATAAAAACTGTCAAAACGATAAATGATTCCCAGATCCAAACATTCCCATCAAGTGAGAAATTTCTCACCATCTTCCTGACGTTTTTCTGGCATTTCACTGAAGTGCAGGCCTACAAAGCATTGAGATTTTTATGGAAGTTCAAACCACTGGACAGCCGCTGCAACTGAATTGTTTCGGCCATCTCCAGCTCTGGTATAGCCCGTACATCCCCGCTAAGAGCAGGACAACTTGGCACGTACCTAACTGGAGTTACAACACACCAAAAAGAAAGCAGGAAAGGAGTTTCCTCATTGGGTTTGTGTGGCGGTTCAGAGCACAGACAGGTCTGCATCGCATCCCTAAGGCTGAGCCAGCGCCATGGGACCGAACGGGATCTATCTCACCACCAGACAGGGACACACGTGTTACCTCTTCTGGTTCATCGAGGCCAGCTGGCTCCACTCGTTCAGGCACGGGTTGTAGCAGTGCGCGGCCGAGATCTCCTGGCTGGTGATGCGGTAGCCGCCGACGATGAACAGGTAATTGTCCAGCGTGGCCGAGCCGTAGCCGCGGACGCTCACCAGGTCGGCGGGCAGGTTGTTGGCCAGCGGCAGCCACCGCTGCGCCTCCTCGTCGTACCTGAGCATGGCCCAGGGCGCGTCCCCCGCGGGGTGACAGCCGGCGGGCAGCCCCGGCGGGCAGGCGCCCATGAAGTCCCCGAGCAGCAGGAGCGTGGCCGTGCCCCTCATGCGCCGCTCCCGCAGCTGCTGCTGCAGCGCCGGGGGCAGCAGGAGGTGCGGGCGGGCGTCGGGCCTGCGCAGCACCTGGTGGTAGTGGGCGGCCATGAAGTCCAGGCAGGCGTCGTGCAGGTCCTGCAGGCCGTACACCTGCGCCAGGCGGTGCAGCTCGAAGCAGTTGCCCAGCCGCACCTGCGACAGCAGCAGCCGCAGCAGGGGCGTGACCTGCAGGTAGGACGCGGCCTCCACCAGCTCCTCCAGCAGCGGCGGCTCCTCCTCGCCGCCCTCCTCCTGCTCCAGCCTGGCCAGGCAGGACGTGTTGATGAAGTCCAGCACCAGCTCCAGCCCCAGGGCGCTCAGCCCCCCGCGCAGCAGCTGCTCCTCCTGGCCCTGCCCTGCCTCCCGCATGCCCGAGCGGTAGAGCGCTCGGAAATAGTCGCTCTGCTCGATTAGCTTCCTCTTGCACACCGGGTAGCACTTGTCCCCCAGCCGGATCTGCACCACCTCCTCCCCGGCACCGGCCCCATCCTCCGCTTCCCCTTCCCGCTCCTCTTCCTCCTCCTGCCGCCGCCGCCGCCGCTCCGCCAGGGACATCGCTCACCGCGGGCCTGGCCGCGCCTCAGCCCGGCCGGAGCCGCCGCGCCGGCTCCTCCTCCGCCGGCGCGGTCAGCGCTGGCGCCGCAGGAAAGTTTGCGTTGGGGCCGGGCCGGGCCGGGCCGGGATGGGCGGAGCGGCCCGGGATGCCGGGAGGCGCTGCCGCCGCTCCGGCCCTGCAAGGAGTGACAAGGCGAAGCGAAAAAAAAAAAAAAAAAAAACCCAAACCAAACAACCCGCACACAGGGAGGAAAGAGAAAAAAAGCCCGAAAAAGGCAATGTTTGAGCGCTCCGGCGCTGCCCGCCGGGGGGGCCGTCAGGGCATCCCCGGGCCCAGCCAGGGTGGGTGTCAGGGACACGGTGGAAAGGCCGGTGCTGGCTCCAGGGGACAGCCCGGAGGCGCAGCGATCCCCCCTGGTGCGCCCCTCTCCTGATTTGGGCCGGGATCGCGGCTGCAGCCGCAGCTCTAACCCCTTGCCATAAATGTACTGCTGCATCCCTGGCCAGGGGCAGCATTCCCGAGGCACAGGCGCAGGGGAAAAGCAGCGGGTGAGCGGCACAGCCAGCCTGGTGCCGTGGCATCCCCGCACTCCCTTCCCGAGCTGAATGCCCCGCAGCAGAGGGACCCGGCCACGGCAAGTGCCATACGTGACTCTGCTCTGACCCTCCCGCCTCCCTGCGTGCCCCAGCCCCTGGTTTGCCCTGTGAACACCCTGCATAACCTGCTCTGCTGCTCCATCTTTTCTATTCACACTGAGGTCCTGGAACAGGACATCTCATGAGTGAGCTACCTACCAGGGTCCTGAGTTTGTTTGACATGAACGAGGAAAGAGCAAATGAACAACTGAGCATCTTGGGCGAGGATAAAATGATCGATTTGTTGTTTGCCTTGTTATATTCTTCAAACACAATAACAGTCCTCTACTTTAAAAAACCCTACCATCTGCCGAAACAGATGAGAAGTCTATCACGCCTGCATTCTCATATGCTGATATGTACTATAAAGATGTTTAAAATATATTTTTTATCTTTACAAAGATATTTCCTTCAGATAATGCAGACCATAGAAACTCTTTCCCTTTAGTGGTAGTGTGACTCATGTCCAGTTTGTGCAGCTTGCTCAGTTTTCAGACAACTCCCTATTTTCTCTGCTCAGAAGGGATTTTTTCTCCCCACTATTAAAACATTTCAATGGCAATAATCTGTTTTGTCGGGGTTTTTCCCCTCTCTTTTAAGGAAGACAGGGCTGATTACTTTTTAGCATTTCCACTATGAAATGACTGTGATCCTTTATCGTTTATTGTTTTGTTGATCTTCAGCTTCTTAACTCTAGCCCATGGAGATGACACAAATGTCAATCTCAGTTACAGCAGTTTTTTTCTGCTGACTTCTATAAAAGCATTTTTTGAGGTGAAGTGGATTTCTGCGTGTGTTTGTTTTCTATCTCACTTCAAAGCATCTTTGCAATCTTGCTTTTGAGGGGCCCATTTCATGTTCTGAAATCCTTTTCTATAGGATCTCAACCAGACCAAAAGAGGTCTCTTCATTAGCTGGGTCACTATCACCTCTCACCTTCTCTTTCCTACTAATGTGTTTGCTTGATTTGTGTTCCTTTCAGTCTTCCTCATTATTTAATATTCACATTCCACTTTCCTGTCTTCTGTTCTAAATAAAGCACCACAACATTTTGCTTGAGTTTTTTACACCTAGTTGAAGTTTGAGTACTTGGCTGTTTTTTTCTCTGCTTCAGGTTCAGCCTTCAAAAGATTATCCCACACAACAAGTGTCTCACCACCTCAGTAAGAGTCCATCCTTTAGTTATTTCTTGTCCTTTAATTCCCACAGGCAGGCATTTCAAGCAATTTTAATCATGATTACTCCCAAGGAAAACAGAGATCTCATGTTTGGCATGGCCAGCAAGCTGTCCTGTTGGGATACAGCAGAATTGCCATCTTTAGACATCTGCTTTGGAGTCTCTTATGTTTCATGGATTTGTAAGTTAGTTCCTAATTGGTGAATGCTTTTTTCCATGTAGTCAGTTATGGTAAGTTCAGCCTCAAAGTGTTGACACCACAGCCTGGGTGGATGGAATATTTCTTCTCTGGTTGTATGTTGCCAGATGCTTGCCACTCTGCCTGGGATTTCCAGTCCTTCTTCCTCACAGTCCATGAAGTTTGTTAATGAGCTGGATCAATTCTGGCATGCAGTAGTGTTTTATTCCTGCCAGCAAACTTTCAATGGCCCTGACTCCCACAGCTTTCCCCAGGAGCTCTCACATGCCCAGGAGGTCAGCAGTACTAAGTGGCCACTTTTACAAAAAGCCTGTTTCCTTACTCAGTTGTTTTTACTGGGCTAATTGTTATCTCTCTGTGCCTTTTCCAGGCTCAGGGCTGGGCAGTTGTGCTCAGCCAGTGTGCTGACAGGACAGGTCCCTTGTTTTTTCCTACACTCATCAGTCAGCCTGTGTGATGTGCTTCTAGAGTACTTACACTGCAAAGGCACCAAGGCAAGGGCTACTCTTTTGTTCCACTCTTGTGGAGATAATTTTGTCTGTCTTCCACTCTAAGGTTATACTGGTTTCTTCTAAGATCAACAATACATGTTAATATAATGGAATCAAAGAAAAGGCTTTGCTGTTTCACCAGCAATCATCTTGGTTGTACCTTAAGTGAATAAGAAATGTATTTTCCAGAGTTTGAACTCTATTTCTAGAGCTACAAAGCTGAAATGTGTAGTTCAGAGCCATAAAAGGTTTGCATGATCTTTGAAACAAATATGAAGGACTATCTATCATCCTTCAAGAACATGCTGAAGCATCAAACATGAAAGCAATCATAGTAGATTTTAAATCTAAAATGTTAAATGAGTTTATGACAAAAGAACATGTCCTGAAGAACAAGACACTCAGAGAGGAAGACAAATGCTGCTCAGCATTTCAATACCTGTCTTCTAGACTTTGGCTTCTGGGGTAAAGTCTTCAAGGTGTTTTAGACAGTTCAGGCCTGTCTTTACAGTACCTGAGAGACAAATTGATACCAAGAAAAAGGGTTCTGGAGTGCCAAGAAAGGGACTGTGACACCAGAGTGTCAGTAAAGGCTCTCTTGCTCCAAGGTTGCCTTGGCCATTTGTGCTACATAATTTTTCCCTGTGTCTGGTGCCTGAACTATTTCCTTGTAGTTAATGTCTGAATTTCTTCCAAGGCCAAAGAGAGATCACTCTTTTCTTTTAAAAAGACGTGGAAATGGAAGAAGCTTTTTTCATACAGCCACTCCATTGTAATAGACCATTCAGCCATGACACAGAGAATCTCAGCCTTTCTCTGCCTGGGCACACATTTCTGTAGCCCTCTGACTTTCCCAGCATAGCAAAAACAAGGAATCACAGAGACTCAGGAGGAGTTACTGCTACAAAGAAAAGTGAAGCCAGGGAGACACTGGATAATACTTGAGAACCAGAGAGTAACGCCAACCTGAATGCTCTGAGGAAAGGACCACACTGAGTGAAAAAAAAAAAAATAGTGGAAAAATTGAATTCCTTTCAGCCTTATTAGTCTAAAGAGTGAACTGGAACTGAATCTGGGGATATTTAAAGTATCCATGCTATCTAATATAAAATATAAAGTGCAACATTCTGCCCTCTGAGACACCAGGGAGTTGTACTGCACTGCCAGGGACCTGTGCATTGAGTAACAGTGGAATTACTCAAGACAGGAATTGGTCTTTTGGAAAGGATTTGCCAACTTCTGCAATTGTTCAGTATTTTCCCTGTCACAGGATACAAAGTAAGCATATGTGGAACACAGGAATTAACCTGCAGTGTTTCAGCATTTAAAAATTCTGGTGTTCTAAAAGACCTTGGCATTTCTGAGAGGAACTGACCAGAGCATAATTTTACTTCAGCCAAATCATAGCATTTGTGAAGGATGACCTGCTGAATAAAGGTAATTTCTCTTTTCTGAGTCACAGCCAAACAAATCACTTCTTACCCAGTGCCACTAGCAATGCTATTAAAAAGAAAAAAAAAAGAAAAAAATAGAAAGCAAGCACTCTTATTGCGAATAGCACTTGCTCAGACATTATTCCCTAATATTTTCTGGGGTTTTTTTCTGCTTTTAATGTGCTGTTTATTTATTCCTTGCAATAAAAGTATGTTGCAGCACTACTGAAAAGATACTTGGAGTCACATGTTTTTTGAAAACAGATTGTTTGTTATCAAGTACTTATTAGTCACATCTGAGTGATTAATACTAAAGTGTGTGCTCCTGAGCTCTGTCTGGGTGGCAAAATGGCCATCCCAAGAGTCTGTGTGTGGTGGGCATTCTCTGTGGATCATGAGGAAGTTCAGGCCCCAGACAGCAGAGTGGAGGTGGAAGAGTGTAAATCCTTGCAATGGCCTTCAACCTGGTCCATTTTTTAGACCACAGACCTCTTAAAGAATTTCCTTGAAACCCCCTCAGGTGAAATGAATGTTCCCTGACAAAACCTGAATGGGGGTCAGGCTGCTGGAGTGCTCTGTCTGCTGCTGTATCCTGTTAGGGATGTTTACTCTGCACAAATGCATTGTTCATCCCCAGCCAGGAATTTCTTGTGCATCTGTGCCTGGAGGAGAACTGGGTGCTTTTAAAACAGCAGATATTTTTTAATCCTGGTGTAGACAGGCAGTGCTGAATTTTAGTCCATATTAACTAGGTAAGATGAATGGTAATCCACGTGGAGGACTTCCACTCAGTATCCAGCTCTATAAAATTCATCACAAGATTGAAATCCCATCCCCTTTGCCCAGTTTAAGTTCTGCCGTAAATCAGCATCTGTTCATTAGTGTTTGCTAAAAATTGTGCTTTTGTCATAAAACTTGGCTCAAGTTAATCTGCAATGCTACTAGATATATATTTGTATAAATCTAATCTGGCTAAGACTTGTGTTGCTCTTTGCTTGAACACACAGCTCCCAGCCTTGCAGCAGAGGTTTGGCCAGATTAGTCTGAAGCCAAGCTCCGAGAGACTCTCAGGGCCTGGCAACCCTTGAAAACAAGGGTTTAAAAATGGTTTGTATGAAGCCCCAGGAAGAGAAACGGTAATGTTTCACCTCTTTTTACCATGTTGCTGGGATGGGACAGAAACCAGAATCTTTGGATCCAATTGTCCCTAACCTCAGAGAAGGTCAGAGTCACTAAAAATGTGATGCATTGCTCCAAACCAAAATCTCACCACTAATAGCTGTTTTTGACAAAGCAATTCTCTCAAAAAATGCTGTTTTGTTGGAATTTAGATATTTTGCAAGAGAGTTTTGATTTCAAGGAAAATTTTAAAGGAGAAAGAAAGCAAGCACATTATTTGAATCATGTCAGACTGGGTTTGATTTTTTCCCACATATTTACATTTCATTACTTCATGATTCATTACATTAGTCTTTCATAATTTTTATACCTTAACAGAGTTACAGTGACATATTCTGAAATTATCAATATACTTGGCTTACTTAAAACTTTGACTTTACCACTACTGTAATAAAGGGAAAATATATGTGTGAATCTCAGAAAAATGAGATAAAGATTATTTTAACACAGGCCTGAAAATCAGTTTACTTATGTGGAGCATAACTCAGGCAGGGAACTTCATGCTGATGTCGCATGGGATTATGCTGCACATTTCATTAAATTCATTACTGACATTCACAGGAGGGCTTGGGCAGGTTCATACCTCACCTGGGAAACTGCCTGGGTCTCACTTCTCAGCTTGTCACCTTCCAACTGCTCTGTCACACAATACCTGGAGAAGAGACAGACTCAGTGTAACCCATTGTTGCCTTCCAGTGCCTGAAGGGAGCCTGTAAGAAAGATGGAGAGAGACCTGACAAGGGATGTAGTGCAGGACCGGGGGGAATGGCTTCACACTGACAGGGAGCAGGGTTGGATGGGATATCAGGAAGAAATTCTCCCCTGTGAGGGTGGTGAGGCCCTGGCACAGGTTTCCCAGAGAAGCTGTGGCTGCCCCATCCCTGGAAGTGCCCGAGGCCAGGTTGGACAGGGCTTGGAGCAACCTGGGATAGTGGAAGGTGTCCCTACCCATGGCAAGAGGGTGGAAATGGGTGAGCTTGGAGGTCCCTTCCAACCATTCCACAATTCTACAACTAAATAGATCCTTTCTGGTCTTTACATATTCCGAGTGATAGAACCATATATTCCATAAAAGCTAAATGTAGTTCCAAAAATCAAGACATGTCTGTTACTTCATATGGAAAAGTGTATGCTTTTGTTTCTGTTTGGCAAAAAAAGAGTTAATGCCTGATGATGAATCCTTTGTGCTGGGAAGCTCCTGGATTGTGCCATTCTCACTGCTGGCCCAGGTGGGAAACTTCAGGGACTGTTTCTGATTATAAGAAGGATCATGAAAAAGATCATTTTGCTCCAACGTGGCAGGTCCATTTAGATCTCTTTTACCGAAAGGCCTGCAGAAACATTCATATTCTCACAGGAAACAGGCCCCCCTACCTTTTTGTTTTCCAGGAGGAAATGTGAGGAGTCGGATGAAAGGAGTTCCTAAATAACATGAAGCCCTGGTCTGGTGCTGGTCACAGACTCCCCTGTATCAGTGGCAGCCTTTTGGTCCCTCTTTGCAGAGCACATGGAAAATCAGTCGCTGGTTTGCAGGTAAGACTTGGGCATTTCCTTCTTGCAAAATATCTGTGAATTAAAATTTCAGCACTAATTCTTTACATTTCCCATTGAGAAGTTAAAGTGAAATTAAGGGGAAGAAGATGGTAAAATTTAGTAGAAGTTTTCTGTTTTTAAAGGAAATTGCCTAAAGCAGCCATTTATTTACTTGTTTTAATCACTTTATCGTTCATTAAAAAGAAGGTTTCCTTGCAGCTATTTTTGCCCTTAAAATTTATTCAGGAAAAGAGGAGGAGGAAAGAATACTTTTCATGTCCTTCTTAAGTGCTTCCCCAGATTATTCAGTGTCTTCCAGGTTTCTTTTCTTGGAGATATGGGAAGAGTAGGAGTGAGAAAAGCAATCAGAAATCAACATTTTTGCATGCAAATCTTACAGAACAAAACAGATCTGAAAATCATACTAATTCATACTACAGGAAGTAATGCCAAAATAAAGGCATGTCTGTCAAAACTTTGAGTGTATTCCAAATCAAGTAATACCTTGGGATATTTGGAAAGCTGAAATAAATATTTACAAAAATACACTGTCAATAGCACTTGTAGTAATGGTAGATAAATGTCTAAAAGCTTCCCTGTGCAGTCCACTGAGTGCAAGCTGTCAGGTATTTTAAAATTTAAAATTTTAAGTGCTGATTATCACAGAGATGAAAATATCAAACTCCAAAACTAAATAAAACAACACAAGAGTGCCAAAAGCTGCTTTTCAGGATAGAAGCTTGAAGAATTACCCACTTACCCTCTTTCTAACAGTTTAATTCTCGTATTCCCCACAACAGACATTTATTTGGAATCCTCCTAGTTATAGTTCCAATAATATAACATATATTGAATAAAATAATGCCTTGGCCTTGCTATTAGATCAACAGGGGTTAACCTGCTCTGGGCTTTTTTATCTTCCAGTGAGCCGTGTAAGGAACACAATATTACACCTGTCAGTTAATTTCCAAACTGGGAGCCTAGTTCTGTGAAAACAAACATCATCTGTAATGACCAAAGAATTAAAATGAGTTTGAGGCTCTCCCCACTCCACTTAACTGATCTACACTTCATGTGGAAAGGAGGAAATTCTTTGATCTCAATCTTGAAGAGTAAAAACACTGTGTAAAATATTCTTATATATTGAACACACAATTTTTATATTCTGTATATATATATTATACTTCTGCCTAAATCTCTCAACCTCACTGTACAGCCCACTGGGTTTAAATCAACTTGTTTATTGTAATATTTTAAAGCTTTTATGTATGAAAAGTGTAACGTGGGAAGCGGGGATCAGACTTGGTCCTATTAAGAAAAAAATGTGGGAGTTTCAGATTTCAGACCAGGTACTTGAAAAATCATCTCCCTGTGTGTCAGCTGTGTTTTCTTTCTGACAGGCCTTTTCCTAGCAGAAAACCTTGTATGGACTGCTCAGTATTTTTAAACTTATTAGGGGGAGAACACGATCATAGCTTGAGTGGAGGTTCCAGCCCTCCCCAGTCATAGAGAGTTCATCTGGTTCTAGATCTTTGAAAAGAAAATTTTACTATTCTTGCATTCAAAATATTGTAGGAAGGGGAACAGTTCTCCACCTCTGTTCATGTGTTAGCATGAGAAGGCAAATTTCTGCAGTCACCAGGTAACTCAAAGTGTTCAGATCCTGGGCAGAGCTGTTTCCCTGTACTGAGTGTAGCAGTGTTCCTGAACAAAGTGAGGTGGAACAAGGTGCTGAGCTTGCTGTTATTCACCAAATCTCAAGGCTGTCTGCGTGGCTTGGTCTGAGGACAAGAGACACAAAGAGGGAACCACAGAAACAAATTCTCTGAATGACTAAAAACAGCCTGTCCCTTTTGTGTCTCAAAACCCACCTCCAAATAACTATTTAGAGAACAGCGATAATAACTCTTACAATCTTCTGTAGCTCATTAAACGCCTGCTTTCTTTCAGCAGCCGCCCAAACAGCACCATGGGCATTGTCTGGAGGAGACCCTGCCCTGGCTCATGCCCCTGGCAGCATCCTCAGTTTTGCAGGGCCGGTCTCGGCAGTGCTGCTGCAGCCCTGGAGCAGAGAGCGGCTCCCTGAGGCCCTGCCACGGGGCCATGGCTCTGCTGCTGGCAGCGGCACAAGTGCTGCTGCTCCTGGGCCTGCCTGGGGCCTCCCAGTGCCTCTGCTCGCCCACTGCCTTCTACAAGAACTGCTGGATCCGGCGCTTCCCGGGGCTGCTGGTGGACGTGCAGGAGTCGCGGCGCAGGGGAGCGCAGCTGCTGAGGGGGTACGCGGCAATCTCCCCGCAGCAGTGCAGCAGGACCTGCTGCCTGCTGAGCAACGGTGAGTGCTCCTTCTTCATGGCACACACTGACCCCCCATTGTGGGTAATGCTTACATAAACAGTGCTTCACTTGGAGAAGAAATACCAGGGGTGGAAGGAGGATCTATACATTTTTTTTCAGGCAGGAAAGCAGAGGCACATTGCAACTGTCGTCCCACAGAAAGGAAATTGATAGTCTGTATTTTTTCAGAAGACTACACTAGGAACACACTAAAGTCTTAGGGTCTGCTTTGCAATTTTAGATCTCTGTTACAAAGCATGTAGGCAATACCAGCATTAACAGAGTGATGCCTTCTGAGCAACGCTGAGTGCTTGTTGTTCATGGCACACACTGAACCCCCCATTTCGGGCAATGTTTACATAAACAGTGCTTCACTTGGAGAAGAAATACCGGGGGTGGAAGGAGGATCTATACATTTTTTTTCAGGCAGGAAAGCAGAGGCACATTGCAACTGTTGTCCCACAGAAAGGAAATTGATAGTCTGTATTTTTTCAGAAGACTACACTAGGAACACACTAAAATCTTAGGGTCTGCTTTGCAATTTTAGATCTCTGTTACAAAGCTTGTAGGCAATGCCAACATTAAGAGAGTAACTCTTCAGTATTCATCCCCATCTATATTATAGAGAACAAGCAGTGACAGTAATTCCAACAGCATTCTCTTCCTGCAGGATGGCATCAGACTAGGACTTGGTGAGAGGGAGAGTGGAGGGGACACACAGTTTGTCCTTCTCTGAAATACAGGAGTATTCTTTTCCTGGAGGAAAGCACTCTCTTATTCCATGTTTATGCCATGCAAACCAGGTAACACTAAATTATAGCAATAAATAATATCAGTTATTCAGCTGGCCACCCCTTTTCTCTAGCCTGGTAAACTCAGGCTCAGAGCAAAAATAAACAAAATCATTCTTTGTCCTAAGCCTTGTACTTTCTCTGTATCACATTGCATTTGTACTCTACAGGAGTGTATTTTAGAAGGATACATGAATTGCATGTCTGTGGTGCTTAAATTTTAAAACTCTCCAGACTGGAAAGGGGTTGGGATAAGGTTTTGGAGGATGAAAGTGAAGTACCAGTTACTAAAAAAAGGCAATATAAATTTAGATTATATTTTGAATTATGAGCAAAAATATGACCTTCACAACCTGACAGTGACATAAATAACTTCCAGCAGCAATCTTGGGAAGAGTCAAATTCTGTCTTAAATAATGTGAGGTGAGAAAAATTACATACATTTCAGCAAGGTTGTTCCTGTCTCGACAACAAACTTTTTCTCATATCCCCCCACGTGGGACTGGATACTTACAGTGATAATAAATGGTAACTTGAAATCTCCTTTTTATAATCATATATAGTCAAACAAAATTTGTTACTATCTTAACTAAAACAGAGACATTAGAGGGCATTTCAAAGGACTTTAAATCAGTTATTATTTAATGAGATAAAGAAGTAGAACTCATATGGCTGTTCTAGTCCAGACGTAAAATAAGATTTTAAGTTCTCTTTTGACTGTATGCTCAATTAATTTATATGATAATGAGAGAACCACAGGATCTGGACTCTCCTCCCACAGGATCTGGGCAAGTATAATGAACTTCTAATGTTAAATAACATCATAACATGCCAAATGCAATGGTCATTCTGCTGAGAAGCTCAACTTTGTTCTTTATGGGTTCCAGTCTCCTGCAATCTAGCAGTGTTCTACCATGGAGCTATTCATGAGAACAGGAACTGCCTGCACATGTCTTGCCCAGCTTTGGAAAGCTGCATTCTAAAGGCTGGAGTTGATGTCATTTTGTACAACATCACAACAGGTAATTAGATATTTCATTTATAAGGGCTGAAAACAGAGCAGCTCTAGGAAATGTTAAAATGATACCTGGTCACCTGCTGTGCTAAATGATCTCCTGAAGTAACACACAATGCTAAAAAAGATGAAGACTTATTTCCTTTTTAATTTATATAGCTATTTCTGAACATACTTCCCCCCTTTCTTCCACTGAATGAGAAAGGAGCTTGAAGATTCATGCTCTCAAGATTCATGCTCTGAGTACCTCATCAGTACTGTGCTTGGCCAAAATACCCTCCCAGCTCTGAGAGACTGAGAGAGGAGGCTGCCACCACTCCATGTCCCCAGACCCAAGCAGTAACAAAGCTGAACATTTATTTTCATTATGTAAATGCACCTTGAGCACACAGGTAACACAGACAGACACATAAAGAAGCAGACCAACATAGGGAGCACCAAAAGCCTCATCCTGCTTTTTGTGTTAGTGGAAATATATAAATATGTGTATATAGACACACACATATATACAATGCAAAGTCCCCCAGCAGCTGGGCTGAGATGCTCTGAGTCTGCACAGTCTGGACCTCAGGGTGCCCAGTCTGGACCCCAGACCCAACAGGTGCTGCCACTGGGATGTTTGAGCCCCCAGGGTGCAGCCTCCCTCCAGCTGCTGGTGCAGACTGTCACATGCACAGAGCTTTCCTGGATTTCCCTACTCTCACTACCCTTTCCTCACCTTTGGTTCCTTCCCTAAGCATCCCATAGTAAGTTGTGTGCAATCCCAAAATGCACATCCTTTGCATCCCATAACCTGAGGCAGTGACACCTCCAATCCAAAAGGGTTTATTTGGGCTCCCTGCCCTGCCTCTGTCTCCATGGATCCTTTTTGTGGGTGTGCAGACAAGCTTTTAGCAATAAACTAACATTATCCTTATTCAATAGGGATTGATCCAGATCTTCTCATTTTTGAGAAACTGAAATCCCAAGAACCAAATGCTTACTCCTCAGCAAGTAAATCTGAGAGGCAGCACAGCACAAAGACCCCTGAGGGGGGAAGATGCCAACATCCCAATGCCACCACATCAGGTTCTCCTCTGCTCCGAGCTCCACCTGCTGCCAACAGCCATGCAAGGACTCCCACCCCCAGCTGGAGTCTGACAGAGCAGAGAACTGAAGGTAGTGCCCCCTCCAGGGCAGAAACTTCCCCAGCAGCCATTGCTTTTGATAAGAGGACAAGCAGCAGGTCGATCACCAGCTCAGACAAGACTGCACACTCAGCTTTGAGCCCCAAGCCTGCCCAGGTGTTATCCCACGTGCCCACCCCTCCTCGCCTGAACAGCAGCAAGCAACACCTCAATGAAACCAAAGGCTACAGTGGCAGGAATTCCACGTCAGATAACGAGGCAGCTGCCTGGGAAGCTGCAGCTTTGGGGGTCTGGCTGATTCCTGTTGTCCTTTGCTCCTCTCTGCTCTGCCTGTGCTGTTGCACTGTTGCCCTCACAGCCGGACGCTGCGGCTGCAGGAGGGGTCACTATAAACCCGTAAGGACAAGAACAACCATGTCCAGACAGCTCATAAAATATGCTCCTGTCAGAGGTAATCTGTGAAACACCATCCTGGCTCTAGAACAAACAGGATTTTTAAAATGCACCCCATACACCAGCTTACTTCTCTCACAGAAGCAGTGATAGCTTAGTTCAGAATATTTTGGTAATGATTTAATTCTCAGCAGATGAAGCACAACTCCTTGTCTCTTTAGGTAGGAAACACCCACTCACAGCTCCCACTGTTTGAAGCATTTTGGTTCATAATCTGGTGCAGATTAATGCCTGACAAACACTGTAATACTTTCCCCCAGGTTCAGTGCAGCTGCAGTGTTGGCATGTCTGTGTGGCAGAGAATTATTTAACTGGATGAGAAATCCTGCCATGGTTATTTTTGTACTTGTCTATTTGCTACTGAATGAATAAACATCCCATGTAATGCAGGAATACAGAAGTGACTTATAAAATTGTCTTTTTGTTTGAAATGGTCAAAATGATCATGTTTACTGGCAAAGAAAGGCTAAACCTAAACTCAGAGAAACACTTGGTAAAGAACTAGGTCTGTACTTTTGGATGCCTTTCTTCAAGCTGAATACAGCCATTAAAATTCTGCTTGTGTTCACTTTATAGTCTTTAGTGCTGCCAAGAAGGCAATTCAAACTTCAAGACCTTGCAGCACTCCATTCCAAATATAATTTCTCCAGAAAATCCAGGAATATACATGCAATTATTATTGCTACATAATTGCATGTAGTTTTTAGGATACAGAATTTACACGCAGATAGCTTCATCTAATCTAGATTAGAAAAATTATCTTTTCTTGACCTAAGCATGGCCCTGTAGTTTCAGCTGGATAATGTGTTTCAGTTTTCTTAGCCGAGGGTTTTGCCAAGCATTGCTGAGCACTCTGTTATCTTCAATTACAGAGGCATACACAGTTCATGCTAGAATTAGTTGTTTAATACTTGGGATTTTTATTCAAATACCAACTTATTTTTTGTTTCTGAAGACAGGAGAGTGGACAAGGTCTCCTCCCTGTTTCACAAAGTAAGATTTGCAGTTTGAGGCATCACTATGGTAAAACAATGCCCCTCACTCATTAATTTATAATGCTGCAAAGAATGCATTTTTTATCTAAGTCATGATTTAATCATGCATCAAGGACAGGGGAAGATGCTTAAATCCATAATATATATATATTTATGATCTATTGCTGAACTTGCAGCCACAAAAGCCTAAGGAACCTAGCTCCTACAGTATCAGTGTGGAAATAAACTGTGAATGTGGGCCTTCACCTTTCCACTCTGTAAAGATATTACTGTTCTCAGACAAATATTACAGAGCTCAGCTGAAAACTGACAGGTTCTATCACATTGCAATCCCATCCTTACCTGAGACTCACACTCATGTCCCCAAGTCCTTAAGTGTCCATTCTTCCAGTTCAGGCTGAGCTGTGCCCTGAGTGCCCCACAGAGCATTTGCTGACAGCAAAATCAGTAGTGTCTCCAGCTTTTTTAGCTCCTCTGTGCTATCAGTCATTCTCCAGAGCAGCTTGAGTCAAGGAAAAAAAAGGAGAATAGCTTATCTTATGGGGTGGATATAGCTGTAGGATTTTTTTTAAAAATAGAGTAACTCATAGGTAGTTAAAGACTTGCTGTCAAAAGGGAGGGTTTTCACCTCCATTCACTCAGAAAAGTGAACTCCCTGCCTGCAGCAAGCCACAGGCATTCCTGGTTCCCTGTTTTTTTAATCTCCAGATCAGTGACTGTAGAGTGCACTTCAGAGCACCCTGATGCTCCACTGAGTCTTACCCTCAATATGATGATCTGGAAAAGAATCATATAATGCAACTGGGACTTTAGTTCTTACCAGAAAAAGATCTAGGAGACAAAATGAAAAATGCTATTGTCCCATGAGCAAATGCTTCTGGGACAGCAGGGAATGATTAAAGCAAGATTGTGTCCTGAAGAGATTTCTTGCTTTGTTGACAGAAAGAGGAAAAAAATTTGCAGAAAAAGGGTTGTATGAAGCACAATAGCAGAGCTATTTCATTACAGACTAAGAGAGTCCCAAGAAAATAAATAAATACATTTTAAGTATGAGGGAAAGCAAGAAATGGGTAGCAAGATTATTTGTGCAGACAGCGCATTCCCTTTTAGGCAACTGCCTCTTTATCCCTTCCTTGTGCTTGTAGCATCACTATGCCTGAAAACAGGGGAACAATGTCCACTCTTAGGAATGTTTATATGGGGGATAACAGGAAAGTTCCCACAGGTGTGCACAGAGGGATGCACCCCTCAGTCATTCACATTGTAATGTACGTGACACATGAATAAGTGACCAGTGCTAAATATGTGTTTATTATTGTGCTGCAGAGCTGCTTTAACCTCTAAGTCTGTTAGTCTCTAACTCTTCTGTTTTTAAACTTCAGCAAGGCTTCCAGAGAGATGGATGATGCAAAAGTATTATACAGTAAAACAGAGATGTGTAGTTTACTTCTTAAAAATATGTGCTGTATTTTATATCTTTGAGGTTGGGAAGACTCCCCCAGGGGTTAAGATCCTAGTGTTCCAGGTATTCTGCACAGTCACAGAGAAATACTGTCACCTTCAAACACAAACAGTTTAGAGAGAGAAGCAGAAAAGCAGAGAGGAACATCCAAGAGCTCAAAATAGCATCCAAGCTGCCTTTTGTCCTGCCCACTGCATTACACAAGTTCTGTACTGTAACATAGAAACCATCAGTAAAAATCACAAGTGTAAGTTTGAGTTTTATCCCAATATTGCTTTCGGCCAGCAGGCATCATCTGTTTTTGGGAGACACACTTGGTGCTCAGGAGACAGTCACCTTAAATCCTGCCTGTATTACTTGAAACATTTATAGGATGTTCATAAGTTAGGTTTGAACACTTCAGAGAGAGCTGGAGAAGCCTGTGCATTTTAGGTTTTCCATCAATTAGCTGTGAAGCTAATGACAGTCAGTTTCCCTTGCTGTGCTGTTCTTTCCACCAGACATTATTATTGATAAGGTCAAACTGTTGTTTCAGCCATGACTTCCAGAGTTCTGCTTAGGTCCATTCTGTGAAAAGCAAAGGAAAACTGGGATGTCCTCTGCTGCAGAGGATTTTCTCAGGTGCTCACATGTCCTGAATACAGAATAGCTTTGTGGAGAAAAGCAAACTTATGGGATTTGGGGTTTCTTAAGACATTTCAGGGCCTTGCTCCTGCCAGCCTTGTACACACCACTGGCTCCCCAGGCTGGCTCCTAGGGCAGCCCTTGTGCAGGCACTGACAAAGCTAATTAAGGAAACAGATTTCTCCTGTGCACATACTAGAACCAAACTGCCTCTGGAACACAGCCAGGCACAACTTCAGGCACCACTCTTGAGTCAAACTGCACTTACTTCCTCAGTTGTTTTGGTTTCATGGGTGATCAGAAAAGATTTGGAATTACACAGACGTTCCCATTTCAAAAGGGAATTTTAAACATTACCCTCATGGTCCCTGAATAAAGGAGCAACCTGATAACAGCTGAAACTTTCCCCATATTAAGCTTCTGCTAAAATTTTACACTAATACACATTCAAAAGGAAGGACTACTAAAGAACCAGGTCAGTCAGTGCAAAATTGGGATTACAGAACAAACATTTTCAGTCTTAGTACGGCTCTGGCAAATTCTCATAGGAATTAAAATGCTGCATTAAACTCAGTCTGTCACCATATGAAAACAATCCTGACCTAAGAAGAATCCTTCCTAAACTGACAGTGTTTTGGCAGTGGGAACAGATGCACTCCTTGGCTGTATGTACACACAGAGCACACAGTGAGAAATGCTAGCAGGGAGTGAGTCCAGCACACAGAATGCTGTAGGAATCAATTTCCCTCAGTTTTCAATGCCTTTATTCTTACACTGCTTTTGCTCAATGAGCTGCTGGCATGGGCAGCTCTTTTATAGGTGTGCAGAATCCTTAACTCCCTCTGCCCCTTCTAGAGAATGACTTTCTCTCTAAGTTGAAAACTTTCTAAGCCAGGAAGACAGAATAAAAGCAAGATTTATTTATGTCCTTTCAAGGTTTGGTAGGTTTTTTTTTTCTTAATCCTGAGAAGGCAATAAGGCAATACAATTGTGACTCCAGAGTTTTAAATCAATTTCTTTCAATTACAAATTATCTAATATAAGATAAACATCCACATAATCCTTTCTCTGTGCTACATAGGATGCTACAAACTTTGTTCTTTCCTTGAAAAGCCTGGGTACATTCAAGACAGAAGGCCTGAGGATAACAAGGCTCAGTCCATGCCTATTTAGTTACAAACTCACCTCACCAACTCTCATCATTCTTCCTGTCCCAGGTACTCTGGGATCTTCTCACCAAATGCTGGTTCACCTTCCCACTACCATCCCATTTTCCACCTTATTTTACTCCATTATTTTAGAGACAGGTGCTTTTATATAGCATATTTGTTTGCCCTCACAAGAACTGAGAAACTCAACTGTCCAGAGTGCTTCAACACCTCAGACTCTTAGGCAACATTACCCTCATTTAATACATAGGCAAAAATCTGAACGGCATTTGAAAAGCACTTAAAGCTCCTAATTTTCAGACTTTTAATTAATGGAACTGGAAGCATTAACTAATCTCATTAGTTTGACATTGTTGTTCTAGGTTAAATGCCCAAAGAAGTGTGAGAAATCAGAATGTGATTAAGCAGAGGACTGAACTGATCATGCTAACAGAACTCAGAATAAAACATTCAAGTTACCAGTATGAATCCAAACATACTTTATTCAAAGGACAATATTCATGGACAGGACTTAATTCATAGTCAAGTTTCATTTTTTGGCTCAAGTTCTGAATAATTATACATCCATATCATTAGAACTACTAACACAGTAGTTGAACATCCCTGTAATGACCAGGTGTACCTGCAGATCTGCTCTTCTCATGCTTGTATATTGAGTAGTTTCTTCACAGATTCCTTGTACTGAGCCATGTTACTTTCTGTTTCACCTTCATTTTTAAGCGCAATGACTGAGTTTCTGTAATTCTTAACCACTTCAGATGCCAGCAGCTCCTCCTTAGTGACATTACTGACATTCTCTGAGGCTTTTATTCGAAGCAGTGTGTCCAAGGCATTTTTCTGAGAGCGACTGTTTTCCCAGATATACTCTTCCATGTCTTCCTCAGACTTCTCACTCTCCCACTTCTCAGTTTTCTGAAAGAAAATGCACAACCTTAAAAACTACCCTGGACTGAAACAAAGGAATAATAATTTGAAGAAATTGATGTCTCTTAGCGTTGTAACCTGCTATTTTTTATTGTACTTTGATAAATACAGATGCTTCACTGATATATTTGCATTTTTATATATTGCAGGCTGTATGTTTAAGTATTTATAATTATTTATTACTTTACTGATGTAACCAATATGTCACATCTTTATATTACCTCACCTATGTAAGAATCACAATCCGAAGTATTTTGGGTTTAGTTTTGCTATTCATGTTTTTCTTATAATTATTATAAAATCATGCCTAAATAAAACCTGCAGTTCTCTGGAAATATATTCAAAGAAACCTTATAGTAATGCCTTTACATCACAATTTTGGCTTTTCTAAAATCACTTGCCAAAAAGGGCTCTTCAGTAAATTTTTACCTGTGCTACGCAGAACCAAAAAAACATCTTGCAAGTTAGGGGAGGAGGGTTTTTTTGTTGTTGTTCAGTGTATGTTTTGCTTGTTGTTTCTTTTCTGGGAAGGAGGTATGGTGGGGTGTGTGTGTTGGTATTGTTTTTCATTTGTTTATTTAAAGGTTATTCTTTCCACTAAGCATCGAGGCTGCTGCAGTCAAACCACAGTATTCAACAACCTTTAATTAAGCCCCAAGATTTTTTTTCACCCTGCAACTCTTGTGTGCTTGGATTCCTCTATCTGAATTTAAAACACTTTCCCAACTGCACCTGGTAAATGGCATCTCTTGTCTTTTGAGTCTGAGTCCAAATGTTTAGTCAGAAGCAGCAATTCACATTGCTCAGAGGTTTACATGACTGACATTAAACCCTGGACACAATAAAGCACAGGAGCAAAAGAACCTCACTCAATTTCTGGAGGGGAAAAACAGGAACAAAAGGACATCCTGCAGCCCTGTACTGCTGAAACATTAATGGAACAAGTGGGCACAGTGAAGTGTTCCTTGTCTGTTTGACAAACCCTGCAATCCAGGGTAGGGATTTAAACTTTTAAAGTTTTAAATTAACACCATCATCCTGCTTTACACATCCCCTGGCTACCTGCAGAGTGGCTATCTAAGACATTTTTTCCCCTGAACTCCAACAGAATTTTCAATCCAAAGCCTCTCTCACAGGGATAGGGTTTCTCAGGAGTAAAGGAATATGGGTATCACTGCTGGTCACTCCCTGGACCAAACTCATGTCTGAAGTTCAAACAAAAGACCCCTGTGAGGCTTTTAAACACCTCTAAGTCACAGCAGAGACAACAAGGACTAATGACAGTATTACATTTATCTCTTCAGGAGTATCCTT